ACAGTAAGTATGAAATAAACGGTTTTCTTTATATTAAATGAATTTACTCAAATTAAGGGTTTCATTAGTTGTTTTATGATTTTTACAAACATTCGGTTTTTCGTTTCAGTGATTAACGTGATATTCTTACTGGGGTAGTGTAACTCACTATTCTATTAACTATTCAGATAAAAAAGAATAAGATTCAGATCCTGATCAACATGAGAGTTGTGAGTAGATTACCTTCTGTGGACTCCATCAAATGCTAATAGAGGTTAATCTCTTATGACATTTATTTACTTCTTTACACTGTGTAAAGAATGTAACCCTAATATTATTATTTGCTTACGCATTTAAAAATACAAATTCATTTTCTTTAAATTCTGGATTATTACTGATGATCTATGCAGTTGAAATATCCTAAAAAATATGTAGACTTCAACTTTATTTGTTTGAACATATGATGATTTTAATTATATAATTTGATTTAAAAAAAAATACTGGTTATGTAATTTTTATATTTTTAGTTTAATTTTTAAGTTATTATCAGGGTTATATGTAAAATAAAAATTAAAAGTTGCGGTGAAATTCGTATTTAAATTCATCATTATTTCAACAATAAAATAATTAAATATTTTATAAAATTATGAAATTTGAGATCGTATCAAATTTCATATGAAATTATAGTTCTAAATTCCATTAATTTTAAAATACATTAGTATTCACATTCTACGCAATAAAATATTCGGGAATTAATTTTCATCATCATCCTACCAGCTCAAATTTCATCTACCTAAAATTTTCCAAATAGATTTCATATTGTTCGGCGGAATTATTCCAAATATATTTTAAGATTATATTTTTAAATTTTAATTCAATTATTTGAGTAATTTTTTCTTTAAAAAAAGAATAGACCGACTTTTTAATTTATTATGATTATCTAAATTAAAAAATTTTAAAAATATGATAATTTTACTTTAAACTTAATCCAATTTAATTATACTAATGAAATAAGTATTTAATTTTTTAAAAAAATTGAATATTATAAATTGATTACTATCATTTTATAATATATTTATAAAGTAACAGTATTTACATACTAATAAAATTCAAACTTACCTGTAGATATCTAATAGCTAAATGACAACTTACTGTACAGTTCATATCATACAGAACTTTGAAGCTAAGAATTCTGGACGGTGAATATTTCAACTACCATACCCTACCCTCGTAATCAGCCATTAAATTGACATGCACTATTATATACAATAATGTATTTGAAATGTTTTAAAATTACTACAAATATAATAAAATCAATTATATTTAGAGTCCAAATTTTGTTACAAAAAATCAATATATACAAATATAATATAATATATATATATATGTGTGTCGTAGGTTGCGATTAATGAACAAATAAAATTATTTGTAGCGTGCGAGATTATGGATATATAATCCCATTATGTATGTACCCATACAAGATCAGCTGTTTATGTTTCTTTATCTTGCTCGAGTATAATGTGGGTCGTATATATATGTATGTATATAAATTTATATAGATTTCATTTTATTTGTGAAAAAATATACTTAATTATCATGACTGAAATTATAAATTATAAATATTAAATTTTATGCATCAATCTGTTCTGAATATGAAAGTTAAATTATAAATAACCTCCAATTCATTTAAAAGAGTACAATTTTAAATTCTATTAGAAATAATATATATTTATAAAAAAAAATATGATAGTCTAAATAAATAAATATTTAAAAATACAATTAAAATCGTGCAAATACCATTACACACAGCTAAATACATTTAATTTTTATAAATTATTTGTAAAATCCAAAATATCAACCTAATTCCTATCGTTTACCGTTCGACGCCTCATCTTAAGACGTGGACACCGAGATATCCTTTGGTCGAAATGGACGGCTCGGATCAGTTTATGTGACTGCCGGTTCCTAAATGGCGACTGGGCCCACCTAGTAAAGGTTGGCCCGTTCTATTTAAGCTCCTAAAACATTCATAATCTTGCAAAGAAAGCCCGTAGTGGCATTTGTGTGTTCAAAAAAAAAAAAAAAAAAAGAGAAAATTGCAATTTTTATATAATTATAAATTTCTTTTTTAAAAAAAAAAAAAGAGAGAGAAAACGATAAGATCAATGAAGGGATAAGCACATACGTCAGCATCCTAAATGATGAGTCTGCTATAAATATATATCCATAACTGAAATCTAACCAAAAAAAAAAAAAAAGACAGATTAAGAATAAAATTACTGTAATAATACAATTTTGTGCAAGAATATAAGTTTTGTTAATAATAAATAATATTTGGGCTGAAAAATTATTCACCATGCAGGTAAAAAGTAATATATAAATTGCCCAAAATTCAAACGTAATCGATGTAACATATTTTAAAAAAGTAACATCTAAAGTCGTGTAAAAGATCAAACGGTAAAAATATTAAAAAAAAAAATTAATATTAAGTTTACGAGGATGAGAAAGTAAGATAATCGAGGGTCAAAATCGGGGCCCACTAGGTTACAGCAATTGATGATTTCGGCGAGCGCGTTTTCCTTTTTTTTTTTTTTAAAAAAAAAATATTATTTATTGTGGGGCCCAACATTTTAAATTTGTAGTAACCAGAAAAGCCGAAGAATAACCGTTGATCAAAAATCATGGGTCCCAAATTTAAAACCTCAAAATAGGAGAATATGAATTGGATACAGATGAACCGGCAAACAACCAACAAACAAAAGCCACCCTTTAGTTAAATAATATTCCATTAATTCATCAATCAATAAAAAAACTATATATTAAAATTCATGTGACAATCTCGTACTTAATGTTTTATTAAGAATATAAAATTTATATGTAATATTTAATTTAATAAATTTATGTATTAATAAAATTAGATTTTGTTTTTATTTCATTTTTATAATAACAGTTAATTTTTTTTTTCATAATTAAAACAACTAAGCTAACATCTAATATTTAATATTTTCATAATAGAAGTATTATTTGACTGCTCAAAATAAGCTATAATTACAATATTGCCCCTCTATTCTTAAAGCATTACATCATCACTAGTAAATTATTGCCAAGGATAGTTTTGTCCAATTATTGAATGGCCAATCAAAATTAAAAAATAATATGTTTATGCACAAACTAATTATTTATTAGCATTATTATGACTTCGACCCTCTTTTTTTAATATTCAAAATTATACGTTCTTATTTATATGAAAATGTTTGAAATTATCGAATATTTATATCTTTGTATAAATTTATATAATATGCTTATCATGTATTTTTATAATCTTCCCATTTAATTAATCCATATGTAACATAATTAATTAAGCTTGTTTATGAAATAGACGGATAAGATCATGAAAAATGCTTTACCGTGAAAATAAATTATTATGCATGTCAAATCCAAAACAAACCAAACTATGACGTACCTAAGCTAAGTTTGATTATAAAATCAAATCTATATATATATATATATATATATAAATTCAAATATGTGTAGATTTAGAGTCTTGCATTTGGTTTATCTGCGTTTGTTTTGATTCAATTTTAAAATTCCAAGTAAAAATTAGCAACACATTTAATATATATTATATAGTTTGACTCATGTCATCAATTTTACAAATAATGAATTTGTAATTTTACTTGTCATTACATTAGTTATAGAAGCAACTAGTTTGAATTGGAATTATAAGGAAATTTTTATTTAAATTTACATCATATTTATATTATTATATTCGTATTCATGTTTTATGAAATTAAAAATTGACTAAAATTAATATAAATCTATGCGGATAATAAATAAAATACATTTGTAAATAGACATTTAGTAAGAAATGATGAAATCATGGATCAATCCTATAAAAAAAGAAGAGTTCATATGAAATTTTGTATAAAATTTTAAATGTATAATAAATAATTGAATATGATTAAAATAAACATGCATTCACATACACATATATATAATAAGACAAATGAGTTTGAATTATAATATGTATGATTAAATGTATTGTTGAAGATGATTCTCTTTATATTAAGCATTTATTTCATAAGTTTAAAGGGGGTGGTCCCTTATCACTAAGATGGAAGCCCATATTATGAAGTTTCTCAATTATGATTGGGATGTCTAATTTATCAGCGTTTATTACTTTAATTATTGTGGTACTAATTGAGTTTAATTAGTCGAGTATTAGTTCTTATTATGTGCGTAATTATATATAATCTATAAATAAATTAGGTTATTTATGAACTAAATTAAATAATAAATGACACTTCAAGTTTGGTACAAGCAAAGAATCACATAACAAATGGAAAGAATATAATTTTGATTCAATTCTATAAAAGTAAAAAATAAAATAAAATACATATATATATATTTTTAAATCAAAGATTTTTGTCTCTTAAATGGAACAAGTGAAGCCTTACTTTGACCATATGTTATACGTGCATACATAAAAGGTCAAAAGACATATTAATTCCAGCTCTTTTAAACCGCGTATAAGGATATTTTTAATATAGTTTTGCATATACATGAATGTTTAAATATTAGGAACATAATAAAAAATAATAAGACAACACAAATTAATCCCAAAATTTGAGGGGAAATTCTTAATTTTTGTGATTGAGTATTACCTAATCAGTATTTTATCACATGAATTCAATATTTTTATAGCTGAAAAACAAAATATTTTATCGAATTAGCATCATAAATACATTAATTCAATTTTAAGTAGTAATAAAAAATAATATCATCACACGAATTCAATATTTTATAACTGAAAGTTAAAAAAAATACGTTGCTGTTATTAGTCCTTTATATTTTTTTCTTTGTTTATTTATTGAAAAAGAAGTGAAGAAAGAAAAGTTTTTTAATTTTTAGTTTTCAAATTAAATTCTATATTAAAAGTAATATAAAATTTGAAAACTACAAAGGGTACTTTTGGTATTTCATATTCCGTTTCTTATATTTAAAGTCCAAATTCCAGAGAGAGAGAGAGAGAGAGAGAGAGAGCAGAGCATAATACACAATAGAGGAAACCAGACACAGGAAGTTTTTGAAAAACAGAGGAAACGTCTTTTTGAAAAACCGAAGAGAAAGAAGAAAAATTGCTGTGGGGAGGGAAAATGAAGGAAGTTGTGTTGTCAGTGGATGATCTACAGTCAACTTTATCTACAGCTCACTGCAGAATTTGCCACGAAGAAGAATTCGAGAGTCGCAAGAGCCTTGAAGCTCCTTGTGCTTGCTCAGGAACCGTTAAGGTATTATACCAGAGAAGAAATCAAGATGATGCTGTGTTTCCTACTTTTCGATTCTAGTTTTGTCTTTTTTTTTTTTTAATTTTCAGAACTGATTAATGATTTCTATTCTGGTTTCAGTTCGCGCACAGAGATTGTATACAGAGGTGGTGTAACGAGAAGGGAAACACAATCTGTGAAATATGTCTCAAGGTTTGAATTTCAAAATTTGAACCATCCATAACAACGAACGATTTTCCTTTCGATTTTTCTTCTTCTTTTTCTTCGTCTTCTTTTTCTTCTTGTTTCAGTTAATTGTTTCTGGATGAAAAAAAAAAAAAAAATGTTCTAATAGATTATTCCAAAATATTGTTCTGATCCTCGTTCGGCACGGCGTCGTTTTTGATCATGAGTTCTTCCTTATCGTTTTCTTCTTGTTTTGAATTACTGGTATCTGAGATTTGTCTTTTTCTTTCTGTCCAAGTCTTTGGCAAATTCATGATCAGCTTCTTCCTTCTCAAAATTGATCAGCTAAACTCAAAAACTGAATTTCCCAACGAATGGATTATTTTGTTTCAGCACATATATTTTTTACCTAAATAATTTTTTTTCCTATTACGAAATATCCGTAGAAATTATAAAATTATTATGATTCCTCACGATGATGGATTATGTGATCATGCAGGAATATGGACCTGGATATACAGCAGTAACTCTAGCTTCAAAGAAGTCTCAGCTAATTGAAGCAGCAGTTACCATTCGGTAAAGTTTTCCCTAATTTTAATATTATGTAAATAACATAAATAGTTTAAAGGCGCGTGAATTTACCATCTATATCTGTAGCGCGTTTTGGGATATTGTTTCCCTTCATGTCTAAAAATGCAATCATCTTTAGTCACTAAAAAAGTGATTTAATTTATATGAAAAAAGAAAAGTTGAACATGCTTTACAACTAAATTGTTCTAGACTCTACGCTTCTATTAGTAACCTAGGACTGGTTGCTCAGAGCATTTCCCTTTCTTTTTCAATATTCTTTTTTTTTTAAAAAAATATAAAACAAGTGTTTGTTTTTAAAATATTAAGATTAAAAATTAAATATTAATTTATTTAATTATGTAACAGAGATAGCTTGGAAATTCCAAGAAGAGATCATGGCCCACGAAACCCAAGATTAGTGGCCATAGCTGAGGGAGTGGCGATGGAAGCTGAATTTTCCGAATGCACTTCTGCTGCTGATAGAGGCGCATCTTGTTGCAGGACATTGGCTTTCACAGTAAGTTTTTCATTCTTTTTTTTTTTTTTTTTAAATAAAATAAATAAAATAACATATTTTGAATTAATTGAACTGTTTGTTTAGAATAATAATATTAAAAAATGATTTTATAATTAGTGTTGTAAATTAACCATTATTCTCGTTTTGAAATGGGCAGCAAGCACTAGTTGTACTTTAGTGGAATTATTTTCTTTGCTAGGGTGGGGAACCAATAAGGAGGTTGACTTGGCAAAGATGGTGGACTTTTAAAGAAGTTTGTAATAATTATAGTTTAATTATTTTGTGCACAAAGTAATTCGATTTGGTGTTATTACCTAAAATTCAGTTATAATTGAACCATTTGCATTTAGGATTAGTTGCTATATTGCTGGTAACCAATATGTGGGCCAGTAGTTGCCTCACGACCAAACGAGGGCCGTTCACCAAACTAATAACGGATGCTTAATTTTACATTCGGGAGGAAATAATTAACGTTTAATTATTACTGATGGATCAGTAAACTAATTTTGGTAACTATGATTACTATGTTTTTACTAATTCCCTGCTTATTTACAATGACAGTTTACAGTGCTTTTGCTTCTTAAACATATCTTTGCCGCGGTAACTGCTGAAACTAAAGATTACCCTTTCACACTGTTTACGGTAGGTACTCAATTTTGAAGAGGGAAATTCACTTCAGTATTTTATGCTTCAAAATTTTTTTTTTAAAATTTAATGTTGTTTGTTGATCTATGAAAATATTTTAAAAAAGTTATTTTTAAGGTTTGAAACCTGAAAAATTAGTTTTTTTATGTCAAATGGTAACATATTATACATGAATGTAAAAAAAATAAAGATTTTAAGAAGTGAAAAACATTATAAGTTTGATGTTTGAGTTAATTTTTTCTGTGACATATTATGATTAATTTGATAATTAAATAAGAAATTTGAACCGAGTGGAACATGTTTTTTTCGAACTTTGAGCTGTCATCATCGTTTTTCCAACTGAAAAGGGATTTATGTCTTATTGGGTGTATATCTATGCAGGTATTGATTTTAAGAGCAGGTGGAATTGTACTCCCCATGTACGTATTGATTCGGACAATCGCAGCCATTCAAAGAAGTATTAGGCGACAGTATCACGTGAGTTTCTTTACTAACCACCAATTCATCCTCTCGACCCCATACATATTATTCACCAGAAAGAGGAACGAACTTTAATGAGATTAATTTGAAATGCTTGTATAAAAAAAGCCACCATCACTTTCAAATTTCTAACCAATACAATACAATTGCTAAGCTACAAAGTCTAGAGACTGTGTTTGGTAATTGGTACAAACAAATATTATTTGTAAAAAATTATTACAAAATTCATCCTTAATTTATTTATGTTAAAATGATTGGAATCGACATTCTAAATTAATTCTGTTAAATGAAATACATTATCAAATTTATTTTCTTTCCAAACATAGTGCAGACTAAAAAAGTTGTGATTAAACTGAAACTAATTTTTCATCTTTATATTTGGGTTTATAGGGATACGATGATGAAGATGATGATGATGATGATGACGAGCACGATGATGGCATTTCAACCTTCCAAGAAGATGAAAATCAGCAGCGACAGCAACGGAATATGGTTTAATCCTAAAATGATTCTCACATTTTTTTTCTTTCCTGAAATTTCAACGAGCATTTACTGTGCTCATTTTGTCCAAATCCCACTCCCTCTTTTTTTCCCATGCAAAAAATTAAAAAAAAAACAAAACAAAAAGTATTCATTTTTATTCAAGTCTAGGAAGAAAAAATGCAATTGTATCTGTACAGTCTTAATCTTGGATTTAAGTAGAAGTACAGAAACTCTATTTGCCCAACTACCCAGAATAGAAATTAGCAACAGTGTAACATCAACTTTTGTAAGTGGGATGAACAACCCTACTAACCAGACCAACTAAACTAACAAACATGTATTCTCACTTTCAGGACAAGTTAGGCAAGCCAAATGAAATTAAGATAATAAATTTCATATATAGATTACAAGCTTCTACAAAATTTAAACATAAAGTCTTAATTTCACATTAGATAATTAGAAATTTAATTTTTATCATCTGGTAAATATTTTTTGCCATCTCATATTGAAGATACACTTCAATTTTTAACTGAATTCCACAAAACAATGTTGTCTTGTTTTGAAAACAACTTTCAGTACAAGTACGAAAATCCCTATTTGTTCAACAACCCAGAAAAAAAATAAGATTTTAAAATAAAAGTGCTGGTTCTACCATAAACCATAATTTTGTCGATATACATAGGGGTAAGGCGAACAATTTTTCACTTTCTTTGGTTAAAACTACTTCAATTGACATTACAACCCCTTAGCATTATCTCTCTTACCAAGTTAAAACTAATTCAACGTCTCTCGCGGTTTTCATGAATGTGACAACTATTTATACATGGATACAGGAAATGAGTTAGCTGGCGCAACTTACAAAGAGTGAGATTTTGGTTGTACTATAATTACAACTGAAAAAGCAATTCTACCGAATGTCCCTAAAGGGAGCGGATGGAAAGTAGTTGTTGGCACAATCATTTACACTTCGTGCTCAATTAAATGTAATGAAAAAAATTCCATTCTGGTTTTAGATGATTCCGAAAATTGAAGGCTATGTCTCAGTAACAAAGCTGAGTAAGAATGATTCTGTATTACAACAGTGAGTTTAAAAATATACCTGCAGACAGCAAAGTAGGTGTTGAGAGGGATTCAATCAGCTTTGCTGCAGAAGTATCCTTGCTCTATGTTGAAGTTCAACCATGAAACCCATTCCAATACCTTCAGAAGGCTTGAGATATTGCTGACTAATTTCGGGATGAAGACCACTCTTCCTGTGTTCTGATCCTCTTCTGTGTTTTCCACATACAGCCTCAAATTCTTGCCATTTAGTTTAGCAGCAGCAGTTTTTCAAAGCATAGAATCAGGGAAGTCCCGAAATTGTTACAAGCAAGAAGTGGAACATAGCTTAAGGGTAAGGCAATAATATTAAAAACACTGATTGGTAATTTAAGAAAATAAATTAGATGCAAATTTTCATTTTCTGAACAGATGCCCATAAACAAACTTGAAGGAAACTTGAAGTATTTAGATTCATTATGCGATCTGTCAACTTGATGCCTAAATCATACCCAATCTGAAGAAAGGACTAAACAAAACTTCTGCACACAAGTACTTGTGACCTATGCACACAAGTATAGGTCACAATGTATCACTTGAAATAGCCACTAAACAAAACTTCACCTTGTTAACATGGAGACATAGAAGTGCCAAACTGTCTTATCTACTAATCTGAAGAAAGCACAGATTTTGGGGCATGAAACTTTTAAAGATTTACCTCATAGTCTACAGCTAATCAGTGATAGTGAGCTAAAAACATTCCCTTGCACTGGACCTCGTTAACAAAATGCTCAAGAAGTGATTCTCTGTCAAGAAATGAAATTAAGAAACTGAATACTGGATATTGCCACACTAGCATTTTAACAGAACATGCTGAATAAGTGGAAATAACCACTTCTAAAAGCAAGGGCCACTTACAGGATGGCTTGTCCATCTGAAATTGCTGTCATGCTCAAGCTCATCCATAGCAACCAATGAATCAGCAGTTGCTGATGATTGTATTAACCATCATAGATTAGCCATTGGTTTGAACATGCTAACAACAAAATTGCACCTATGGTGTTAATGTGTTAGGCAACTAAAATGCTTTGGGGCTCCACAGAAAAGAACATCATGATAAAATGGATAATAATTCTATTTGGTTGACTTGGTAGAGAATGCAAGCACAATTTTTTTTTTTGAAAAGCAAGTATAAAATTCAACTTTATATGTTTACAGTAATTCTGATGGATGATGTCCCAAAGTCAGAATGCTTAGAAAGATTCATCCCTCCTTTTACTTTTTTCTTATATTCAACAGCTTTAACTTGATCCAATCCAACTCTTATTAGATCTGCTAACAGTACCATATAACATTGCATTTTCCAATATGTTAATCCAAACCGAATATACACTCACCAGGATAAAAGCAGTTTCAGAAAGTTCTACCAAGAATGTTTTTGCCTGCCACAGGTAAAAGGCCAAAGGTCTCCCCAGCCTGGGCAAACTATTAAAAGGTTCATTCCTGACCAATACACCCAGCTCTGCAACATGGGATAAGCAACTTCATCGCAAAAAGTTAATTGGAACTATATTCATGACCATCACTGAGAATTCGTCAACTTCCTACAAGTAAATCAAAATCTTGGACACTCAAAACTAACGGAGATTGTGGATAATCCGATCACCTATGTTTTCAAAGGAAAATGTAGAAATAGCCATTCCGAAGTTATATGCTTGTAAATGATATAATAGAAAATGCTTGTAAATGATATAAGCAAAACCCAATTCACACTCATGAAACTATGCCAGTCTACCTGCGTTTGTGGAAACCAGCCGTCGCCACTTCATAAACGTCTGACTAGTCTCTGCAAAATCGTTTTCAAAGTTGACTCATTTTCAGATTTAGCTTCTGAGAGCTCTCTCAGGAACTTCTTGATGGGAGTTCAGTACCGAAAGAAAATCAGAAACGCTGCATGTATCAGGAAAATAATCTTGACTAAGAAACTGTTCTGAAAACCAAAAATAAGCAGTGAGAAATTCAGTGGTGAATTTGAAAGCTAAGAAATTCTGTTGTAACTTTTGAATAATTAAGTACAGAATTCGAAAGTACTGAATTCGATTGAAATGTCTGATAAATGCAATGATTGAAAGCCGAAAGGCATAAATATAATAATTTCTTCCCCTTCTTCACTTCCTCATCCTCAATCACAACCCTACTGGATATGGAAGAACCTCGCAGCAACCGCTTGAACTTCTTCCCACTGTCTCCATGATTTTGAATCCACTTAATCGTCCCCTCCCCCAATGCCAACCTAGGGCAGTTCTTTGGCGGCAAAGTTCTGCATTATCGCGTCTTCATGGCTTGTCTTTCGGGTTCGTTTATGGGCTTTGGATAGGTACTATGACCCTAGATCCGAACCCGAACGCGAAACCGAACCCGATACCGAGCGCAATAACCCGAATCCGAATCCGAACTCGACTCCGAGCCCACAAAACCGACTTGAGCTTCTTCAACCTACTCCCAACTTGTTGAAATCAGATCACTCAACTACATTGAACTGAACTAACCGAGCAGACTGTCGTGGTTTTCTACCGCCACCGCCACCGCCACCGTCACCGTCAAGCCGATCTCTAGCTCGATTACTTGTTAATGGCGATCAAATGGCTCTATCTCTATCTGTGAGAAACCCCAATAAAGTTTCAATTTTGCTGCAGCCCTCTATCTACTCTAAATCTCATTTGATAGCAGCATTCGATTTCCATGGCGAGCTCTACTCGAGCGCAGAGTCACATGTTCTCGGAGGAGGAGGGCAAAAACGACGCCGTCCAGGGGGAGGGGAAGTGCGCTTGCCTTGTGGTTGCTCTTTGTCCCTGTCTCGTCTGCATCATTCTTCTCCTTATCGTACTGTCTATAGTCCTTATTGTCAAGTTTCATTTCTTCTGCCACACCCCTCTTCACTCGCTCCTGTACAAGAAAAGTTGCCATTAAAGGCCCAAGAGAGAGTTTTCAGTTTTAGAAAATTTTTATTGTTACCTAGTAGAGGAGACATGTTGGATTTGGGTCATAGAGGTTTCTCTAGCCTTCCTGGAACTGATTCAGGTTCTGAAGATGAAAGCGACGTTAACGGAGAGGATAGAGGTGAGAAGGTTCAGTCAATTGCAGATCCAGATGAAGTTGAGAAGGTCTGCAAGGTGATCGACGAATTGTTCGCATTGGATCGTAACATGGAGGCCGTTTTAGATGAATGTGGAGTCAATTTATCGCATGATCTGGTTGTGGAGGTATTAAATCGATTCCGCCATGCTAGAAAACCAGCATTGAGATTCTTCTTCTGGGCAGGAGACCAGCCGGGATTTACCCATGATTCAAGGACTTATAATTCGATAATGAACATATTAGCAAAGACCAGACAGTTTGAGACTATGATCTCCATGCTTGAGGAAATGGGTGCTAAAAAGCTCTTGACAATGGAAACTTTTACTATTGCCATGAAAGCTTTCGCTGCTGCAAAGGAGAGGAAGAAAGCTGTAGGAATCTTTGAGTTGATGAAGAAGTACAAATTTAAAGTTGGTGTTGACACTATTAACTTTTTACTTGACAGTCTTGGAAAAGCCAAGCTTGGGAAAGAAGCAGAAGCTCTTTTTGAGAAGCTGAAAAACAGGTTTACTCCCAACTTGACAACTTATGTGATTCTGCTTAATGGCTGGTGCAGAGTGAAGAACTTAATGGAAGCAGGGAGGGTATGGAATGACATGGTTGATAAAGGGTTTAAGCCTGACATTGTTGCTCATAACACCATGCTTCAAGGATTGCTGAAGAGTAGGAAAAGATCAGAAGCAATCAAGCTGTTTGAGGTTATGAAGGCCAAAGGTCCGTCTCCTAATCTCCTAAGTTATACAATTATGATTCGTGATTTCTGCAAGCAATCGAAGATGGAAGAAGCAGTCGAGTATTTTGGAGAAATGCTTGATGCTGGATACAAACCAGATGCTGCAGTTTACACATGTTTGATCACTGGTTTTGGCAACCAGAAAAGGCTTGACACAGTTTATAAGCTGTTGAAGGAGATGCAAGAAAAGGGTTGTCCTCCTGATGGGCGCACCTACAATGCTCTAATCAAATTGATGGCAAGCCAGCGAAAGCCAGAAGATGCCACAAAGATATACAAGAAGATGATTCATGATGGAATCGAGCCCTCAATCCCCCCCGTATAACATTGAAAATGGAGTCGTTCGTTCCG